GCACCGTTCTATGCTCTGGGCTGGTGGACCCCCGCCTCCCCGGCTTTAACCCTGACTCCAGACCCCTTACCCAGTGGGCTCTCCCTTCCATTTTTCATCCTAAGACAATGCTAATCCCGCAAGGCTTCCCGGAAGTGCATCTCCTGGGGTCTGGCGGGGGCCTCTCAGTGCCCCTCCCTTAGTGCCAACATGTTCCAGGCAGCCAGGAAAGGGCTGGGCACACAGTGGATGGTGAGCACGACCCCCTGCCTGATCCTGTCCACCCAGCAGCCTTTTGCCTCTGCCCTTCTCCAGGGTAGAGCCACCCCTGGTGGCCTGAAATGGCACAAAATGGGGGTGCCCCCACCTTCAGGGCCACCAGAACCCTCCTGCAGGTCATGGAGTGGCCAAGGGGTTCCATGGCACCAAGAGCCTCAGCCAGAGGCGCTCCCCGGCCCAAGGGCCCTCTGGTGACGGTGCCACCGCCCGCGGACGCCCACAGCATGCAGCACAGTGAGCCCTGCGCCTCACCTCCCAGGCCTGCAGCTTGAACCGCAGGCCCAGCTGTGTGTAGTCGATGGCAGCGTGGCCCCTCAGCTGTACCAGGGCCAGCTGGAAGTCAGACAGGGCTTCCTGGAACCTGTGGGCAGCCAGGGTCCCTCAGCAGTGCAGGGCAGCTTTCGCACCCAGCCCCACCCAGCCGCCCCCTCCGGGGGAGGGCAGTGGGGTGCCCAGGTCTCCACACTCAGGTCTGGTGGGTGCTGAGCGGATGCAGGGTCGCACCCCCACCTCTCTTCTGAACTGTGCAGAATGCCCTGGTTACTTCCCTCCTGCTTCTCAGCCCCCTCCCCACCCTGTGGGGGCTCCCCCTGCAAACTCTGAGCCTCCTTCCTCACCTCCCCCAGGCAGGCTTCCCCTGCTGATCTGAAGGTGAGGCTGCCCGGGGGGCTGGGCCCTAACCCAGAAAGGCACAGTCCTGGGACTTCCTCAGTAAAGGAAGAGGTGGCCTTTTTGTCCTCTGCCTTTCTGAGAGAGAAGCTGTTTGAGACCCTGCCTCTCCGGGCGGCTGCACACGTGGTGTCCCCTGCGCCTTTGACGGAGCTGCTTAGAGGACGCGTTGTTCATCCTGGTGTTCTGATGGCTGCAGTTATAAAGGCAGGTGCACACAGCCACCAGCCACGGTCTCTCATGCACGTGCGTGCTCCCCGTCTCACCTCCTACGCACACGCGAGTTCCCCGTCTCACCTCCTACGCACACGTGTGTTACCCCTTCTCACCTCCTACGCACACGCGTGTTCCCCGTCTCACCTCCTACACACACGCGTGTTACCCCTTCTCACCTCCTACACACGTGTTACCCCTTCTCATCTCCTACACACACGCGTTACCCCTTCTCACCTCCAACGCACACGTGAGTTCCCCCTTCTCACCTACACACACACGAGCTCCCCTTCTCACCTCCTAC